CGTCGCTCTCTCTCTCTGCTCCCTGCCATGCTGATGATTGACGGCCTGAGGGTTTTAATGGCACTGGAGAGCAGGAGCGTGAGGTCGGGGTTGTCATGGCAACTAGGAGAAGGGGCCTTTGCTGGCTGCTTACCTGCAGTACTGTCTGTGGAGCCTCGTTGGCTGGTTGAGGCAGGCAGCCACACACACATACACACACACACACACACACACACACACACTAGCCACACATACTTACATGCCAGCACCACTTCCATTCACTCTTCCTCCTCTCCCTGAGATGTCCTGCCGTTCATCCAGCTACCTCTGGCCTTCCCTGTTCCCTTTCTCATTTTCATTTCCATCCCCTTTTTCTCTCTTTCTCTGTGCTGATCCCTTAGTAGATCTCCGATACACCACAGCTATGTGCGTGTGTAATATACAGCACTTTTTTTTTTTTCCATCCCATTGTTCGATAACAGCTCACAATTATACACTTTATGGGGCCAGCTAAGATCAGACGTGTCTTAGATCCCTCTGTGTTTTTGTAGGAGATCCATTATAGTTGCACCATCCATCAAGCTAATTTATTAATTATGTTATGTCTGCTGTAGAGGTCTTCGGTCCAAAATTTGTGCACGATCTGAGACGGGCCGCTGGAAAACCCACAAGTTTTTTTAGAAAGGGACCCTATTTGCAAAGCGTCCAAGGAAAGTCGGACTGCATCTAAATATATGGCAGGATAATTAGACTTGACCCCAAAACGTGCTCGACCTCAACAGACCCAGAGAGAGAACACCAGCTAATAAGCGGCAGCCATTGGAAAAAGGGAGCAAAACATTTCAGTTTTCTGCCTGTAATTCATAGTCCACACTGTCCATCTTGACTGTTTTTATCTTGCAGTGAGTATAGCTGTGTTAATGGGTCTGCTCACATCCACACATACTGACACACAGACCGGAGTCAAGCAAAAATACAACAGGATCTGACCCCTTAAGACTGAAAATTATCAGGATGGAGCCCAATTCTGGTCCTCAGTTGGATCTCGGTTGCTAGGGACCAAGTGGACGTGTCTTTATAGGATAGTTATTTGGCATTTTTGCCTTAATTAGATAGTCATCGGTTAGATATGAAACATGGGAAGAGATGACAACGGTCCCCAGTCGGAATCAGATCACCAACGCTGCGGCCACTTCCTACATATCCCTACAAGGACTCTCTGGAAGCAAACTGCATACGCCTCATATCAGTGGGGTTAGTGTCCTTCCATTATGAACCATAAACCTTCAGGTAAACCAAAGTTCATTGTTGACTCTTTATTAGGTTCCCTGTGCTGCCAGCAGACTGTGTTTGATAAATAATAATGAAAAAGAAGCACCTTTAATTTCTGGTTTGGTAGATACACAGTTCATACACACACACATAGACCTGAGAGTACTACAGAAGCATCTTTAGCAGACGGTTCTTCACTGTTCGACCTCTCTTCACCCTTTGAGAGATCCCTCTGTCTTTTCTTCTCTCGTTCTCCATCTCTCTTTTTTTGCCAGCTCCGTCTGTCTAAATGTCCACTCTCTCTCTGCTAGTATCTGACTCCTGTCCATGTCCACACTCTGTAAGTCTCCTATGGTTTGTACAGAGTCCCACAGATTCACACCCTCTTACCAGTGCAGTTTGTTCGTATGTGTGTGCGTGTGTGTGTGTGTGTGTGCGTGCATGTGTGTGTGTCCTTCCTCATGGCCCCGGGGCCTGTTAGTTAGTGTCTGGGCCGTGTGGGTCAGCCGAGGGATGGAGGGATTGTTTGCTCTGGAAGTGAGTGAAGCTCTAGTTACAGTGGGGGGAGGGGCCGGAGGAGTGTGTGTGTGTGTGTGTGTGTGGATTTTGTGGCACATCTATAATTGTTCAGTAGTTAACAGATTTTGTGAAATTTAAAAAAAAAAAAATAATAACACTATTAAAGCCTTTGTGGTTCCCATATGATCTAATCAACAAAATGATTTATTATATGAGCTTTTTTCTGATCTTCCACCTCAGAGGTTAAGGTATGGTTGCTTAAAACTTTGTTAAGGTTGAAGAAAGACTATAAGAACAGTGTGTCAGCGTTGGACCGTCCTGTAACAGACACACCGGCTCCACATTCTGACCAGAAAATTAGTTCTCTAGTTAACTTTGTTGTTTTGTGAATGTCTCTGACAAAGCCAAACACCGACAGTCAGCCTCAGAAGAAAACCAGAGCAGCGAGCGTCACCTCTGTCTTCTCTCTGATGTTGAAAATGATTATGATTAAGAGCAAAGATGAAGGAAAATATTGCTAAAAACATATTTGGGGGCCACATTCAAACTGGGGTTGCATGCAGGGATAAAGACTGCTCTGTAGGACTGTGGTACTGATTTACATTTTTTTTATGTTATTCATCAATATGGAGGGGATCCAAAACAATGTGGGATATATATTAAAATCATAATGGGGGTGAACTTCAGTACTTTTACACAGTAAAATGTGTTGATATCTGGAAAGGAAAACTTGATCAGATTCTTATTCGAATAATGAATAATGAATAAAGATGAATAAATTAAAAAATGTGTCAATCTTCCTCAGATTAAGTTATTGAAAAAAGTATTGTTTTTCATGTGGGTAAAATCTAGCCGGCCCTAAATGGAGGCACAACTGTAAGGCTTTTAATTTGAAACAGTGGCAGGAAGTGTTGAGTTTTGACAATGAGGAATGTTATTGTTCAGTCAGACATTGTATATATGTACCATTTGCACATAGTTTTTGTTAGTCAACAGTCATCAGATCAGATCAGAACTTTGCAAAAGAGGAACTCTTTTTTTTTTTACAGCTCAACAAAGTAGATCTGGATATAGTTTGTGTCCTGTGTAGTAGAGAAAGCAACAGGAGCTGTCCATTTGAATGACTCTTCCTGTTCATAACTCTAACCCTCTCTGCAACTCTGCTTCTCACCACATTTTCAAGTTTAGTTATTTCTGAATATATACGATAGATTTGGCTATCTGTTGGGATCAGATCGTACAAACTATAGTTCACTGTAAGCACGCTAAAGCCTTAATGTTCCCCCCCAAACTATCTGCATCTTGACAAGATAGCTTTGTGTCCTCGTCAAATAATGACTAAATAATCATATCTTCATCAGTTATCAGTAATTGTTCCATTTGTGTCCAGAAATCCAGTGAGTGTAATCAGGGTTGAAAGTTTTGTGGCAAATAATTTCTGCACGCCATATCTTTCTATCCATTATTTTCAGTGGACGTGATTATTGTAACACCTTTCTAATTGTCCTGCGACTGTCTGTTGCTCCATCGAACATGAATACTGAGAGTTAACTTTCCTTTCTTGTGTTGTTTTCAGAGTGCGGCCGCTGCTCCCAGTCCAGTGATGGGCAACATGCCACCCAATGATGGCATGCCAGGAGGACCCATGCCCCCGGGCTTCTTTCAGGTAAGAGAAAAAGAACTGACTTCACCTCTCACCCACCGCTGCGTTCACCCATCTCCACCCCCACCTCCCAACAGCTCCCCTGCCCCTCCCACAGCCATCGCTAAGCCTATCCTTCTGTCTCCTCCTCCTTTTTTAGCCTCTTTAGCTGTCCTAATCCCTGTCCAGATGTGTTCCCTTCTCTGTCTCTCTCCCTCCATCCCATATGTCCATGCTTGGGTTGTTAACTCCTGCTGCTCTGTGTGACGTTGTAGACATTGCTAACTGACTCCTAAAGAGTTTTTCTGGTGCGTTGGATCTGCCCAAATATGACATTTTGATTCAGGGAGCAAGTGAAAGTGTTAGTAGAGGTTTTTTTTATTTGGGACAGGAGAAGAGAGGAGAGGAGAAGAGAGGAGAGGAGAGGAGGCTATTTTCTCTGGTTTGTGTTGCTTCACTAATTCCTCCTGTCATCACTGTTCTCTGAAGGCTGTCTCTGAGGCTGACGAGGTCACACACACTCTCTCTGTTTCCATCACTCTCTCTTTTCTCTCTTATATGCAAACACGCACAAACGCAAGCCTTATTTGACACACATTAAACTAGTAGCACTTTCAAAATGGAGGTTTTAAAATATCTGCACACCCAAAGATATTCAATGAAATGACAAAGGTGAAAGGAGAACTTTTTAGTAACCTAAAAATCACAATTGTTACATTTTTATGTAAGTAAAGGAATAAATCTGGCTAAAAGCCTACAAGTTTAACTGGTACAAATTGAATGTAGTGTATAATCACCTGAAAATAAGAATCGTCATTGTGAAACCCTACAATGAGCCGTTTTTATCTACAGACACCACAGGTCGCTTTCCATGTAGGCTGCCATGCTGAAGCAAAGGAGTAATTACACTGCTAGATGTCCCTAAATCTTACACACTGGTCCTTTAAAGACATATTTCAACATCAGCCTACTAGCATCCCTAAAGCTTACCAATTAAACTATATTGCTTCATCGATACAGAAACTGAATAGTAAAAACGTCACATTGGGTTTTTTTTCACTTAAGCTGAGCTAACCTAATGAAGATATGACATGTAAATTAGTGATGTTTTGAAGTGAGTTTGCACAAAACCAGGCTAGCTGTTTTCAGGCTTAATGCTAAGCTAAGCTAAGTGGTTGCTGGCTGTAGCTTCGTAGCGAATAAGTGTGATGACAAACATTGTCCTGACTCTTGAATGAAAAATGTAACAGTTAATGCTGAAATCATCGGTTAATTGGTTTATCAACAGAAAATTAATACATTTATAAATAAGTTACTATTAACTGTGTTGATAATCAATCTTTTTAGCATATGTATCAAGCGAAAGTGACAAACATTTGTCGTTTCCACCTTATCAAATGCTAATTTTCTCAGTTAAATGAACTATGAATTGAATAAATAATTGACCCAACTCTAATAACTGTATGCATATTTGGTCAAAGTCTGTCTTTGTTATCCAGTTGTAAGAATAAGATAATGTAAAGTATTCCATAAGGTTCCATATATCATTAATGATTAAACATGTTTTACAAATTTGCTCCTATTGGACGTTTGCCTGATGTGTAAATACATACAGTGTGGAATCGTATAGCCATTTGCCTGCGTTGTCTTGGTTGATTGACAGCATGTCGTGCACTGTGTGTGTGTGTGTGTGTGTGTGCGCGCGCTGGGGTCGTGGAGAATGTTAATGATGTATGAGCAGTGAGCAGGCCAGGGAGAAAGCTATCTGATGGTGTTGCATGAGTGACATTGCTTTCCATAAATAGACCCTGTGTGCATGGCAGACAGACAGAAAGACAGACAGACAGGATGGGTAGAAGGGAGAGCAATATTCACTCCCTTCTCTTCACTTTGCTTAGCTCAGCTAATCTGAGCAGCAAAGCAGGCAAAGGTAAAGAAAACAAAAAAAGTGTAAACAGGGAACCTGCATAATGCAAAAAAACAGACAAAATGTTCTCTGCACCTCTCCAAACTTTACATCAGCTTTCCCTAAATCAAGCAGACGGTGTTGCCAGAACAGCAGCATATTTAAATGTGTTATAGCGTGTCCATATGGCATCTTTCAACTTCAGCTAGAGTTGAAACCACACGCACTGCTCAGGTAGCTGACATTCACTCCTTGGTGAACTAATGGTTGCGGTCGACAGTGAAAGTGCAGGCTATTGAGTTTTCTGCAGTTCATTTATTCATTCAGGTGAAGGGGAAGCAGATTTTTTTTCATCTTTCCACCCTGCATATTGTTGAGATTTTACTCATATTCTCATCTTGCTGCTCTCTGTTACACCGGAGGAAAGGTCAATTCACATTTGTAGTGTTGGAGTGCATGAGACTCAAAACTAAAAATTTTTTATTATGTATTCAGTGTGGAATTGTGATTGGTTGTATCTCCTAAAACAGAATTGTCTCTCTGCTTCAGTCGTTTCTCTGCTCAACTCCAGCTTCCTTTCGCCACCTTCTCTCCCTCTCCTCCCTCCTTCGTACGCCTGGCATCCTTCTCCATGACATTTCCTCACTCTCTCCTTTTCCCTTGTCTTTGAAACTATTATTTTCTCGCTCTCACACACACTGCTTCAATGACACATGCTTACTCACCGACTCTGTTGTGTGTGAACTGCTCACGTGTGTTGCAGAAATTCTTCCCAGTTGCACTAGCGGGGTAATTAACATAGGTGACCCCAACACTGTTATTGGCTGTGGTCCTGGGAGAGAGGGACGAGGGGCAAAGGAGGGACAGTGGAGGAAAACGGAGGTGGAGGGAGAAGGAGGAGGGAGTCCACTCCCTTGCTCCCTTAATCTGTAGCTGTAGGATGTAGCTGGGCATGAGAGACATGCTTTAGGAGGGAGGAGAAAAGGGAGAAGTGGCAAAAACAACAGAGAGAAATGCCGTTCTCTATACTATATACTATAATTCTCCTCTTCTCTCAGCAAAAGTCCATCGCTGCTGCATCATGGCCCTCTGGGGAGGACAAGCAAAAGGGGAGATGACGGGGGGAGGAGAAAGAGGGAGGAGAGGCTACAAGGAGAGACAGAGTTAATGACAGGGAGAATGAGGAAAAGAAAGTGGCAGAAAGTGGAGGAGAAGAGAGAAGAGGACACTGAGACGTCAGGAAAGTCTTTCAAAAATGTTTTTTATTGGCCCTCAGAGATGTGTGATCACATAAATGACAGTTGACGACAATAGTGGACAGTTGATGGATTCACCTCCCATCTGCTGCTCCTTAGATAGAAATGAAATACAACAGGAATGTGTTCTGATTTTTGCACAGTTTTTTACAGTGCATACATTGCAGCAGATGTATAGACAACTGGACTGAATAATGAGACAAGGAGACAAAATCTGGAAGAAACCAGCATAAATGAGAGTGGTAGGCTTCTGTCCAGGGAAAAGCAAATTAGATAAAACGTGCTCTTTAGAGATTTATATGGTCTATCTGTCAAATAATGGCCCAGAAATCTCTCTTTGTTGACCTTATTCTCTGATCTACACGTGGTACGTCAGGTACTCGAAAAACTTTATGCGCTCCATTAAGTCCGTAAACCAGTTAGGGTGGGGCAGTCTCTCTCTACTAAACTGGAATGGCTCCTCTCGCCAAAAACGGGATCCGAAGTCAAGGGCAGCGTGTTTTACTGCAGGTAATTTGCGGCTCTTCAGGGACAACACCAAAAAGCACAACAAGAGGATTAGGTTTGATTACACATTTAAGAACAAGCAATCCAGGTATCAAAGGCAAATTTTAAGAACCTGTTCAAAGCTGACACATGGCAGGCACATGGTGAATTAAGGAGACATCTGCTCTCAGTAATTTATTCATCAAAGGTAAGACTGATCTCAGGATTCATTCTGGTCAGCTGTTCAACAAAGATGCAGATAAATAAGGTGAAGTGCTTTAAAAATGTGAATGGGAGACTGAAAACCCAGTGTAGGATGGTAGAAGAATGACGGCTCAGGTATTGTTAATTATCTGTGAGGGTCAAAACTCGGTGTTCTGTTGGGGTCAGCCAACACTGACCCCGACAGAACACCAAATAAGGATGTATGCTGTTGGTTTAGATCCTAACGGACAGAAAGATAATTACAAGTTTGTTAGTTGGCACAAAACAGCGCTGACATCTGACAAAGTGTTCGACTTCTTTGACCACTGGACAAAAGACGGCAACAGATTGCTTATAAAAAGCTCTGTGAAACATTTTAATCTCTTTTTGTACCGTATCTGAAATAGTGTTGTGAATAAAGACAGATGCTGAAGGACCTAGATGAGAGTGTGCAGGTAAAACTTTTCACTCCTGCCTGAACTAAAACCCATTGAGGAGAGGAAGCGTCTTTGACTCTTATCGCCACTGCTTATCCTTGAGAGGACAGCGACAAAAATGATACCTAACAATTCTCCTTGAATGACAGACACTTGGAAAACGAGAGGCAAGTCCTCAGCAAACGTTTTCTCTGTCCATTGTCTGCCTGTAGCTGCTGTTAGACTCAAACACGTTGATAACAGTCACTAACAGTTAAACAGTGATTTCAATGTAGCCTTTGTCTCCTACTGTGCATGCTTCATCCCTATCAGCGGCACGTTTCCGACACAGTATGTTTTTATCTGTTTATAGAGACAGACGTGAGAACACACACACACGTTTCCCTGTGTGTTGGTGAAACTTCGGCTGTACGCTCTGAACTCTAAACTAAGGCGGGGATCACAGATATATATATAAATCATTTGATGCCATCCTAACATGTTTAAATGGCTGTCAGCGTTTTTACCGCCGTCCTCTGGGAGAAAACACCCCTGATAGCGTGGTCCCATCTCGGAGCTGACGTGTTGCCGTGCTATATACCATGAGCTAGCAGGAGACCCACTGCTGCCACTGGAATGTTAGCAAGGAATGACAATGAGTGTGTGTGTGTGTGTGTGTGTGTGTGTGTGTGTGTGTGGTGCTGTTCCTCCTGGCTTTGTTTGTTGTGTTCAGTGATGCAGGCTGCTTT